TAAAAACTATGAAAAAGTATAAGAAATATTTAAAAATTATATCAAAGTAAATATTTTTATGTATAAAATAAAATTTTAAAATTATATATATAAATTCGGGTTGGTTTGGTCTCGGGTTGGTTTTTTTTAGTTAAAACCAACCCAACCCAAATATAGTCGGGTTTTTTTTTTTTCAAAACCAAACCAAGTCAAACCAAACCACTAGTCGGGTTTTTTTTCCGGGTTGACTCGGTTTGCGGTTTGGTTCGGTTCTCGGTTCGGTTTTGTACACCCCTACATGAGAGGTTCACATAAGTGATAACGTATCAAGCTTGTGTCCCACAAATTCTCCCCCTAACCAAAACTCTCAAAGCCCTTAAGACTACATTGTGAATGCTGATTAAGTTAGAAGGAACATACCTCTATTTATAGAGTCCTAAACCTTTTCCTACCAGAAAAAGACTAGCCAATCCTAAACCTTTTTCCTAAAAGAAAAACCTATTTATGGTAAGAAACTCAGGGCAATTAATATCCAACATGGTAGATTATGTGTTAGTAGTTAATTGATTTTCCCACCGAAGGTTAGTGTGGGTGTCACTCACGACGGATCGGAATCATGACAAAATCACCTCTAAATACCAGATATACATTCATTTGATTAATGATTTGTAAATTGTAGAACTTTCAAAAAAAATTAATTCATTTTAACTTTTAAAATTCTGACTTTATATCAAATATACATTCCAATTATTATTCGTTATTATTAAATTAAATCAAATAACGTGTTGAACTTCACATCAAATTTAAATATCTCATCATATAAAATCATCAAACAAACAAAGTTGTGAACGAATTATGTTTGTCAATTAATAGTTTGAACTAAAATATCCATATTGTTAATATTCTGATCCAAAAATAGCTTTATTGTTAATATTATGATCCAAAAATGCCCTATCGTATTTTTTACCCAAAAGTATGGAGTAATAGGAGTATTTTTGCATCAAAATATTGCCGGCAAGAAAATTTCTGGACCAAACTATTAATAAAGGACATTTTTATTCATTTTGACACAATTTAAAGACATTTTGACCCTTTTTTCGTAAATTTAATGTAATGAAAAATGACTATAAACAAGAGGAAAACATGAATTAAGTGGTAAATTATATTAATTGTTAACATTACTAAAAAAATGTTCATCTCAAAATACTTGTCAATTTACAATAGTAAACTTGAATTAATTAATTTTTTTAATTTAATTCTTAAAAAATTAATAACTTTTTAAAATAAACTATATTAATTACACTGAAAGAGTTGACAATAAATTGATAAAAATATCTTGTTTTTATACAAAATCTTTTAAAAACGTGTAAAAACTAATATGAGACAAACATATTATTTACAAACACGTGATGGATAATATTATTGTCAAAATACGGCAACATATTGATATTGACGACTTGCTAACTTGTGGTCTCAAAAACATTACACACTATGGAAAACGTGATCTAAGTAAGTGTTGTCGACATTCTCTTAACTAAAAGTCTCGATACAAATTTAATCAAATTTATTATTTTTATTAAAATAATATATAATTATTGAATTTAAAATTTAATTATTAATATTTAAAATAATTATTTCAAAATTTTAAAATTCAAAATTTATAAAATTAAAATTTCTACTTCAATATCTGGTCATCACAAAAACAAAAGTGAGCGGAGAATCAAGAATGCATATCCGTTAGTGCAAACTGCTATTCTTATCTTAAAGTTGTCATATGTATAGGATCTTTAATTCGTTTTTAAAAATAAAATTATATATTTATAAACTATACAAAAAATGGCTTTAAAATATTTATATAAAAAAGTCATGATTAAAGTAAAATTCATTTGGCTTTTAAAACTTGAATGGTACTGCTTAAATTGCAACGGAATAAATAATACTTCCTTTGTCTCAATTTATATGACACATTCAAGATTTTAAGATTCAAACAAATCTATCTTTGACCATACATTTTTCATACATCTTTTAAATATTTTGAATTGTTAGTTATTGTGACTTATTGTACTTTTTACATAGTTTACAAATATATAAATATCATTTAAAAAAATTTGAAGATTACATGAGTAAATTCTCGATCAAACTTAAATTGTTTGACTCTCAAAAAATAAAATAAAATTCAGTGATGAAACTTTTCACATTATTTATCAATACTCCTTCAATTTTAATTTGTTTTTTTGATTTGACTCAATACGAAGTTTAAGAGAATAAAAAAGACTGCCGACATACTCATATATATATATATATTTTTTTTTTTAAGACATACTCATATGAAAAGATATTAATACTAACATACGTAAGGAATAAAAACTCTACAATCGTCGTACATACACAACACATTATATAACATAGACACTTCTCAAGCTTGTTTTCATCAACCAAAAAAAGAAGAAAAAGAGGAAAAAATGTTGTTCAACTTTGATCTTTCAATTAATATATTCTCACATCTTTATTTTTTCTTCTTTCCCTTAGTAATAGTCTTGTTATTTTTCATCATGAATATTTCAAAAACCATTTTAACCAATGTTTTCATATATCCCAAGTCTATCAAAATCCCAAGATCCTATCCAATTATTGGCTCTTATTTCTCAATCAAATCCAATATAAATCGCCGAATTCAATGGACATCTGAAATTGTTTTAAGTACACTACCATCTCTTACTTTTACACTTTATCGACCACTAGGCCATCGTCATATATTCACAGCCAACCCCTCTAATGTTGAACACATTCTCAAAACATGCTTTCATAATTATCAAAAAGGGTATCTTGGTAAAGAAACTTTAAAGGATCTTCTAGGCAATGGTATCTTTAATGCTGATGGTGAGATTTGGAAGTACCAAAGAAAACTTGCTAGTCATGAATTCAACTCCAAATCTTTACGTAAGTTCATTGAGAATATTGTAGATGTTGAACTGTCTGATCGTCTCATTCCTATTCTGACTATGTCCGCGTCTCAAAAAAGTGTTGTTGACTTTCAAGATTTGCTTCAAAGGTTCACTTTTGACAACATTTGCATGGTTGCTTATGGGTACGATCCAGCATATTTGTTACCATCCTTTCCGGAGGCAAAATTTGCAAATGCTTTTGAAGAAGTTGTTCGTATTAGTAGTGATAGATTCAATTCCCTTGCCCCGTTTATATGGAAGCTCAAACGAATTCTCAACGTTGGATCTGAGAAGAAATTAAGAGTTTGTGCAACACAAATTCGCAATATGGCTAAGGAAATGATTAAGCAAAAGAAGGAAAGATCAAATTATAATAAGAGGTCTAGTGACGATCTTCTTTCAAGATTCTTAATAAGCTCATCAGACGAAGAACAAAACATGCATGATGAAGAGTTCATTATAGATATTGTCATTAGTTTTATCTTGGCCGGAAGGGACACAGCTTCTGCTGCACTAACATGGTTTATTTGGTTGATTTCGAAGAATCCAGAAGTGGAAAAAGCAATCTTGGAGGAAATAGCTAAGACGACAATGTCATCTTCCTTAACGTATGATGAAGTGAAAGACATGCCATACACTCATGCATCGTTATGTGAAAGCATGAGACTTTACCCTCCCGTCCCTGTTGATACTAAAGAAGCCATGCAAGATGATATATTGCCTGATGGGACATTTGCAAAGAAAGGAACGCGAATAAGCTATCATCCATATGCAATGGGGAGGGTAGAGGACATATGGGGGAAGGACTGGCAGGCTTTTAGGCCAGAAAGATGGTTGAAAAGGGATGTCAAGACGGGGAATTGGAAGTTTGTTCCTAAGGATCCGTTTGTGTATCCAGTGTTTCAAGCTGGACCTAGGGTTTGTTTAGGGAAGGACATGGCGTTCTTGCAAATGAAGAAGGTGGTGGCCGGAGTTTTACCACGATTTAGGTTTGTTCCGGTGGTGGATGAAGGTGAGGAGCCGGTGTTGATAGCTTACCTTACTATTAAGGTGAAAGGGGGTCTCATGGTGAGGATTGAGGAAAGGACAAATTAAAATCGTCCTAAGGTAAGAAAAAAAAGGATACATGTGCATGTGCATTGCATCGCGTGTATGCACATGCACATGTATGTATAAGAGAAAAGGAACAAGATGTGTTGGTCTACGTCCAATTAGAGTAATCAGTGTGCAATAAATGTTGTAGAAGGGTTTGAAAAGAAGGGGTTTTGCTAAAAATGATCTATGTGTGTGTGAGGAAGGTTTTTTCCTTTTTCAGTTGTCTAGTCTTTTTCTTAATTGTACCATCTTATCAATGTTTATTATTGTGATCGTAAAATAATAAATAAATAAAATGTTTTAATAAAGTTGTTTATATCACTAGTGTTTTTTTCGATAGGAGATTCAAATCCTATGTAAAATTTCATAACTTTGGAATAGTAAAAGTTGCTTTGTTTGTCCCATTTGGAATTATCATCAATTAATTCTTTTTGCTACATGAAATATAAATTGTTTTAGTAAATTTTAAATGAAAAATTTAAATTATTTGTTTAATTATAGTTATTTAATTAACAAGTAATTTTAAATAATAAATTTAATTGGTTGTTAATGGGTCAAATTCATTATTTATTTAAGGAGAAGCTGCCTAATTACACAAACATTCCTATCATATTTATTAATTCTCTCTATAGTTTGAAATAATTAGAGTACATTTAATCTCACTATTTAATAATTTCATACCAAATTTCAAGGCAGATACATGTGAATCACACTAGATACGCATTATATGCATGTATTTAGTGTGATTCACATGTATTTGATATACCAAATACGCGAGTGAAATATGAGAGTGGCGAGCGAGATGGGAGGGAGGCGAACGATATTTGTCTATGTCAGATACATGCGAATCCACTTTGATACAATATATCTAGAATAAATTACACCTAAGTTTGACCTCAGGTATCTAGACGTATCAGGACGCACCAAATTTTGATAAATTCATAAATTTCAAACTAACATACATCTAAATAATTAGCTTCTAAACTTGCAGAATTTCGATAATTTACCTTTTATTTAATATTCTATATATGCCGGAGTTCTTTTTGGTCAGCTCATTTTTTAATTTTTTTTATATCTTTGGTACTTTTATCTTTTTATTACAGGTTGCTTTAATATCCCATATTATTACTATTTAATATATATAAAAACAATTATTTATGGAATGAGTTTATCATTTTAATTCTATTAATTATAAAGTGAATAAATTAAAAACTTAAGATTTTCAAAAAGTTCTATATTTTTCAAAATAATTAATTGTGAGGGTATAATAGATTAAACTTTTTTGTCATTTCTTGATTTGTCAAAATGAACCAGTAAGCAATTAGAGACAAGTAAAAAAAAAATGGACAAGTAATTAGGGACCGAGAAAATATTATTTTCTCTAATACCTTGTAAGTAACTATCTCTAAAAACTTTCCTTCCTTCCTAACCATTATGATCTCTCCACCATCACCAACCATTTCCATTAATGTTTATTAAGTTTGGATGTGTAGTTGAGAGGTATTGGTTGTTGGTTGGTGACAATTGAATTCGTTTAATTACTTTTGCTCACAAGTGCTGTACTTGGGCCCCATGCTGTAGTCCTTTTTTCAAGAGAAAAGAGCATATGGTTTCATAATTGATATATTCACTTCGTTTCGATTTAAATAATGAGTACATGGTTGTAGGCCCAAGTAACACTATTATGGTATGTGAAAAAAATGAGCTTATTGTTTTATTTTTGATGAATCCATCGACACACATCTAAAGTTGACATAATTTTTCACTTAGACACTTAAACTAAGACTTGTATTATTCAAACAACTGATGTAGGACCTAACTTTACCATTTTGACACTTTTACACAATTCACACTTTGACATGTCATCGGTGAGTGTGTTTACACACTCTCTACATAGTTGGTTGAGTTAGCGAAAAATATCAAAATGGCACAGCCAGACCTTCTATGGTGTTTAAATGGTACAAGACTTGGCAGTGGTCTTTAAACGAAAGATGTTGTTATCTTTGATGTGTCCCCACTTTCTACAACCCCCAACTACCCTTGAATAGGCCTAGCAGACATAGTTGTACCAATTACAAGTAATATCACTAGCAAAAGGAAGAAAGAAATCACTGATCATTCTTGTTTGTAAATTACTCTTAGCATATTCAACAGGTAAAGTAAAGTTGTTAGTAATTAAAGATAGAAACATTTATCAAAAATCATTTTGTGTTTTCTTGTTTTGCTTTGCAGATTTCAGAAATGGATATCGGCTTAGCAGTTGGTGGTGCATTTCTCTCTTCAGCTTTGAATGTTCTCTTTGATAGGCTTACTCCTCAGGGTGATCTGCTCAACATGTTTCAGAAACATACGAATGATGTTCGGCTCTTAAAGAAGCTGAGAATGACTTTGCTTGGTCTTCAAACTGTGTTAAGTGATGCAGAGAATAAGCAAGCATCAAATCAATTTGTGAGCCAGTGGCTTAATGAGCTTCGAGATGCTGTGGACTCTGCTGAAAATTTGATGGAACAAGTCAATTATGAGGTTTTGAGACTTCAGGTGTCTAGCAACCAGCAAGTAAGTGACCTCAACCTGTGCTTGAGTGATGATTTCTTTCTTAACATAAAGGAGAAGTTGGAAGACACTATTGAAACATTGAAGGATTTGCAAGAGCAAATTGGTCTACTTGGCTTAAAGGAACATTTTGGTTCGACTAAACGAGAAACTAGAACACCTTCAACTTCTTTGGTTGACGATTCTGATATCTTTGGAAGGCAGAATGATATAGAGAATTTGATTGACCATTTATTGTCTGAAGATGTAAATGGAAATTTTTTGACTGTAGTTCCTATTGTTGGAATGGGAGGTGTGGGTAAGACAACACTTGCTAAAGCGGTTTACAATGATGAGAAGGTGAAAAACCATTTTGGTTTGAAAGCTTGGTTTTGTGTTTCTGAGGCATATGATGCTTTCAGAATAACGAAAGGGTTACTTCAAGAAATTGGCTCATTTGACTTAAAGGTTGGTGACAATCTTAATCAGCTACAGGCCAAATTGAAGGAAAGCCTGAAGGGAAAGAAGTTTCTTGTTGTCCTTGATGATGTGTGGAATGATAACTATAATGAGTGGGATGACCTGAGAAATCTTTTTGTACAAGGAGATATGGGAAGTAAGATCATTGTAACTACACGTAAGGAGAATGTTGCCTCGATGATGGGTAGCAGAGCAATCAACGTGGGAACTCTGTCTAGTGAAGTCTCTTGGGATTTATTCAAACGACATTCACTAGAAAATAGGGATCCTGAGGAACACCCAAAATTTGAAGAGGTTGGAAGAAAAATTGCAGACAAGTGCAAAGGGGTGCCTTTAGCTCTAAAGACACTTGCTGGTATTTTGCGCTGCAAATCAGAGGTGGAAGAGTGGAGAGACATTTTAAGTAGGAAAATATGGGACCAACCAAGTTGTTTGAATGGTATATTACCAGCGTTGATGCTGAGCTACAATGATCTTCCTCCAGATTTGAAGCGATGTTTTGCTTATTGTGCAATATATCCAAAAGATTATCTATTTTGCAAAGACCAAGTTATATACTTGTGGATTGCTAATGGTCTTGTACAGCAGTTTCATTCAGGTAACCAATACTTTTGTGAGTTGAGATCAAGATCATTGTTCGAAAGGGTCCCAGAGTCTGAAGGGAAACCGGAGGGATTCTTAATGCATGACCTAGTCAATGATTTGGCCCGAATTGCATCTTCAAAACTTTGTATTAGGTTGGAAGAGAACAAAGGATCTCATATGTTGGAACAAAGTCGGCACATGTCCTATTCCATGGGAGAAGGTGATGACTTTGAACAGTTGAAGCCCCTCTACAAATTGCAGCAGTTGAGGACATTGCTTCTAATCGATACTGATTACTCACCTCCGCTAACCAAGAGGGTGTTGCATAACATATTGCCAAGACTAACATCCTTAAGGTCATTATCGTTGTCAAATAGTTGGATTGTGGAGTTGCCAGATGTGTTGTTTATCAAATTAAAGCTTCTCAGATTCTTGGACCTTTCTAGGGTGCTGATTGAAAAGTTGCCAGATTCCATTTGTGTATTGTATAACTTGGAGACACTTCTACTGTCACATTGTAGTAATCTTAAGGAGTTACCGCTGCAGATGGAAAAGCTAATCAACTTACGCCATCTTGACGTAAGCAACACTTTTAGCTTGAAGATGCTGCTACATCTAAGCAAGTTGAAAAGCCTCCAAGTGCTAGTGGGAGCTAAGCTTCTTCTAGGTGGTCATGGTGGATTGAGAATGGAAGATTTGGGTGAACTGCATAACTTGTATGGATCTCTATCAATTCTAGAGTTGCAAAATGTGGTTGATAGAAGGGAAGCTCTAAAGGCAAACTTTTGGGAGAAGAATCATGTTGACAAATTATCATTGGAGTGGAGTGAAAGTACCGCCGACAATTCACAAACTGAAAGAGACATACTTGATGAGCTATGTCCACACACAAACATAAAAGAACTCCAAATCACCGGATATAGAGGGACAAAATTTCCAAATTGGCCACCTAGTCTTTCGTTTCTTGAGCTGGTTAAATTGTCTATTGATTCCTTGCCAGCACTAGGACAACTCCCTTCTTTGAAATTCCTTTTCATTAGAAGGATGCATCGAATAACAGAGGTTACAGAAGAATTCTATGGAAGTTCGTCATCTGGAAAACATTTTAACTCTCTTGAGAAGCTTGAATTTGAAGATATGCCAGAGTGGAAGCAATGGCACGTACTAGGAAGTGGCGAGTTCCCTATACTTGAGAATCTTTCAATTGAAAATTGTCCGAAGTTGATAGGGAAGTTGCCTGAAAATCTTTGTTCTCTGACAGAATTGAGCATTTCAAGATGTCCTGAACTCAATTTAGAGACACCTCTTTTTAACGAGGCTGAACTGTTTACATCCCAACTTAAGGGAATGAAGCACATTGTTGATTTATATATTGTTGGTTGTAACTCTCTTACCTCCTTACCTTTTAGCATACTGCCGAGTACCTTGAAGACAATAACCATATCTCGTTGCCAGAAATTGAAATTGGATCCACCAGTCGGTGAGATAAGTTATTGTAACATGTTTCTCGAGAGATTGAAACTGCATGAATGTGTTTCTATAGATGATATATCACCTGAGTTGGTCCCAAGAGCATGCAAATTGAATATATCTAGTTGCCATAACATAACTAGCTTTTCGATTCCTACTGTGACTGAGAGACTCTTCATTTTTGGATGTCACAACCTTTCGGTTGCATGTGGGGGCAGCCAGATGACGTACTTGGGTATCGTCTACTGTGAGAAGCTGAAGTGGCTGCCAGAACGTATGCAGGAACTCCTTCCATCTCTTAAGGAACTGGAACTGTTGGATTGTCCAGAAATAGAGTCCTTTCCTGAAGGAGGAATGCCATTCAATTTACAACAACTTCGAATTGGGAATTGCAAGAAACTGGTGAACAGCCGAAAAGAGTGGAGTTTACATAGACTCCCCTGTCTCAGAAAGTTAGTGATCGAACATGATGGCAGTGACGAAGAGATCGAACATTGGGAGTTGCCTTGCTCTATTCAAAGATTTGAGGTATCCAATCTGAAAACATTAAGCACCCAACTTCTCAAAAGCCTCACCTCTCTTGAAGATCTACGTATTGGTAATTTACCTCAAATTCAGTCAATGCTGGAAGAAGGGCTTCCCTCCTCTCTTTCTCACCTCACTTCACTTCAAAGCCTAAGCATCTTCTCCTGCCATCAACTCCAGTCTCTTTCCCTTCCCTCCTCCCTCTCCAAGCTGAACATCGAGAATTGTCCTAATCTCCAATCACTTTCCGAATCAGCACTGCCTTCCTCCCTCTATGAGCTGACCATCGCGCATTGCGCTAATCTCCAATCCCTTCCAGCAAAAGGAATGCTCTCTTCCCTCTCTAAACTAGATATTTCCAACTGTCCATTCCTCAAACCACTCCTAGAATTTGACAAGGGGGAATACTGGCCAGAAATTGCTCATATCTCCATCATAGAAATCGATGAGGAATACCTTTAATGATTAAAACGAGTGGTACTCTCACAAATGTAAGTTTTTCTTTTTCCTCAGAAGCTTCCTATATTTGTTTACTTCCCTTGGCTTTTTTGTTTATTCTTTTCCTTTTTTAAAAATCTTGTTGAGCAGCATGGAGTGTTTATTGCCACTATGAAGCCAAGAAATCATCTTCACTTTGAGATGAATTTAATTTTAGATAACAAAAAAAAAGGTGATAAAATCTTTATATTCGCGTGGTAACACTGTAAAACAAAATCTAGTATAGATAGGAATTAAATAATTTGCTCCACAAAATTGCTAGCATAGTATAATATTAATGAACAAGTAACTTTTTACCATGATCTTCATCTCTATAGCAATTCATGTATACTTCTTCTTTCCATTTTCAGTGAGTTTAGAGTTATGCACATGTCCACTATCGAAGTCAAAGCTCTAATAGAATTCAAAGGTGTACGATACACAAGGTTTGTTTCCTATATAACAAAAATACAAATGTTTGTGCAACCATGTTAAATCGAAAGTTTTTAGTTCTTGTAAGCATCAGAGATCTGCTGTCACTATAGAAAATCTTTTTGAGTGAATCTATGTAGGATAGATTGTATTTGCACTATCCTTCAATGTTTGCACATATTTAATTGTGCCACAACATGACCATGGATAACTAAGGTTTGTCAATTGGTTGCTAAATTGAATATAAGGTGAGTTTTCTGTTGAAGCATATAGATTTCCTTACAAATATTTATGTAGGTTGGTGATGGTATTCTTGAAAGCATAAGAAGAAAGAATATACATCAATCATCCATGGCAACGTATACTTATGAGGAAACAATGGCTACCACCAGAACTTGTTTGTTGGGACATAAAAAGACCATGTCTAAGGTATGGAGAAACTTACAAGATTCTGTTGCATCAGTATGAATGTTGGTGGATGGTTTAAATGTGGTCCTGACAAGATTCTGTTGCATCAGAGTTGGGATCTCGCTAACCTCCCTTCTGTGAAACTCACTTTGTTGGATTGTTGGAAGCAGATGAGCCCGTGCAAGCATCTAAATAGGAAAAGATTTTATTGTCAGTACTTTTCTTTCTTCATTATTTTTAACTCTTGCTCTTCTCTCAAACCTGTTCTCGAGTCGAGAGTCTGTCAAAAACAGCCTCTCTGTTCCTTCAAGGGTATTGGTAAGGTCTACGTACACCTACCTTCCTCATACCCAACCTGTGGGACTATACTAGGTATGTTGTTGTTGTTGTAGTTAGTAGTAGTAGATTGTATTTTACTACTTAGAATTGACAGCAGAACAAAGAAAGATCCATCTCTTATTAATTCTTCTAGTTTTAGCTGATGCATATAAGCTATTCAAAATATGATGCTGTCTTACTTACTACACTTTGTTGCAATACACTGTATATACACTATTTAAGATATATACACAAATATGCATACATTTTTTCCATAACAAGTATAAATAGAATTAGATATATATATTTCGTATTTTTATTTGCCATCACCACAAGACACTAAACTATGATTTAATGGTGCTACTTTATTGACACTACAAGTAAAAATAGTTTTATACAATATGAGTATCCACATATTATAATATTCTAACAGAGACTATTTTAGCTCTTGAGAAACTTCCATGGCCCTGTTCTAGTTCCTATCCTGCAAATGGACATGGTGAAATAGATTAGCTTATGCTTTAAATAGATTAGATTTAGAGCTATGTTGCTCGGACTCTGCAATGAGGGGTACGTGTCGAATCCTCCAAAACTAGTGTCATTTTGAAGGATATGACACGTGTGTAGCAACATTTTTGGAGAGTTTGAGCAACATAGATTCGGAGTGCATTAGAAATTGACCATATATACATACCTCCAGAAGCCTGCTAAAGCTCTGAGACTCATATAGATGGTTAGAGCCACCCAAATTCCGACGAATTTATAACTTGATGAAAGAATGAACAAGAACACAATGCTGAATAAAGCCACTGTTACCTGAACACAAAATGCATTCTCGGAATTTAATATTTGTTGAAATTTACTGTTTTGAGGGTAGGGGAGGGAGGTGTTTTGAGGGAAGCGCCGGTTTTAGTGTTTTGAGGAGATGGCGAAAAAGATGACTACATTTTAACTTGAGGATATGCTTGACTTGTGTTGTCGATAGACGAAAAAAGAAAAGGAATGCCAAGTGAGCTTACCATTGAGTAGGCAGAATATGCAAAGTCAGATGCGCCAAAGTTTACGCCATCAAAGACAAAGGCCAGGGCGTTGATAGGTTGTGTTGCCGCGACAAACTGAAATGGGAAGAAATTGTGAGGTCCAAAATCCATTACTTTACATCGAAAAGTTCTCTAAGGTGTATTGACAAAGCATATTAGGATATGGTGGATACTGGAATGCCAATGCCAATTAGGTGGATGACGTTGACGTCTTTTGTAAATAATCTAGCTCCAAAATGTAAACCAACTCCAAGGATAAGTGCTAGCACCAATCCTAGAACTAATCCCAACTGCAAAATTTTCAAGAATTGGAGGTCAAAAATAGTTCATCATTAAGGATACACGTACCTCTACTAATAGAACAGCCTAAGTACGTACCTGCAACACTCTTGATGCTGTAGCAGTAGCCCTACTGAAGTCGTTTTGAGCAAATGCACTTGCTAATATGGCCTGATAGAGAAAAGAAAGGTCAAAGTTCTGAATTTTGTTTACAATTTAATAGTTTTGATGCTTTTGCAGGTTAGATTTAGTACATACACGGTGATAGTTCACGTAGAAAAAGGGAACAGTTGATAGTTGGGGTGTGAAACTCGCAAAAATATGGCAGTTCAGGTGTATTTTTGATTATTAGCTCTAAAATATATTGTTTCTGCACAGAAGATCAATATTACTTGGTAGTCTACATTTAAAAAAAACTAGCAGTGCTAATTACTATTTCACATTTGGGCTTCCTAAGTGAATTTTTTTGTTGCGTTATAGCGAACAACAATTTAAGGTGCTAACTCATTTCGAGAAATACAAATCCAGTAGCCAAAGCTTTGTTGATATGGAAACATCTTCCGGTGTACACGTGGTGACCTGTGACAGGTTAGTTTGAGAGGGATAATGACGATATTTTTTCAGTAAATAAAGCAGGAATTCAAGGACTATATGGTACATCCTTGGATAGATACTAGATAGGCAGGGTGGTGACCGGTGACATAACATCCTTCCTTGCTTGTCTAACTCGAGCCAGATAGCAGAAATCACTCAGAATAGTCGTATTTAGAACACATGTAAGTCCATATCGAAAGATAAGGAAGGTGAGTCACAGGGGTGGCTCAATGCCTTTAAAAATGAGGCATATGCCTTGGCCCCAAAATCGAAGGGCCTAATTTTTTAGTAATAATAAAATTATCATAAGTTTTTTTTAACAAAAAAAAATAAAGAATGTTTTAATTTGTTTCGAAACATTAAAGAATGTTTCTTTTTTAATGGATCAATTTTTAAATTTAACTTCCACATGATATATTTAAGACCACAAGATTAAAAAATATTTTGGTATATATATATCTTTAGTTTAAGATCATAAAAAAAATAAAACTTGTTTTATTAAAAAGAAAGAAATAAATTGAATCTCAGATATAAAAAAAATAATTAAAATTTAGGCCTCCAACTTATTTTTGGCTTTAGACCACTAATTAGCTTGAGCCGCCACTGGTGAGTCAAAGCGAAAAGACAACCCTGGTCGGATAGTAGACAGACAAGCAAGAACAGAAAGGCTCACTACAACAGTTGAAATGATAGGAAGATCATATATCACCTGACCAGCAACGGCCAAACCATCAGCTAAAAGAGATGTAGTCAACCAAACCTGCAAGCAAACCTGAAATGCAGCCATTTCTGTGGGTCCTAACCTTGCAGCTAATGATGCAGCTAACGTTACACAGAACGTCACTGCTATAACCCTCATTAACAATAGAAATCCTGAAATTCCGGGGAAAAAAAGAGGATGAAAAGAAAAGGAGACAACAGTTAATGAACTAATTCCATCTTATTGTTGGAACATTAGAAACTTTCTTTTAATTAGTAGATCGAAAAGCAGAACGAAATCTAGCGAATAAAAGCATTTCACATTGTCAATAGTTTGATATCCTAAGAATCTGCCCGTCTACTCTTTCCGTATTCAACTTCCTTTTGCAAATGCCAAAGCAATCAGATGACATTACATAGGAACACGAATATAAGATGAAGATAGACCGAATGAATTGAACAAGTTACAAAAAGTCGTAGACTAAAAAGATGAAAGAAGGGAGACATTAAGAATCTAACATAAGCATTTCTTAAGCCTTGTTATACCAAAATTATACGTTTGAAGAGTTGATTTCTGAGATGGTCACTCAACTAATAGTTATTCACTCAGAAAGTCACTTTCTTTATTGAAGAAAAATGAGAATCAAGAAGAAGAGTGACTTTCTAAGACTTTCTTTATTAAAGAAAAATGAGAATCAAGAAGAAGAGTGACTTTCTGAGATAATAAGTATTAGTTAAGTAACTATCTAAGAACTCGACCCTACGTTTGAAGTAAAGATTAACAACATCAGAGAAAACCTCACCATTTGTGAGAAATCGAGCAAATTGCATATACTTTAGACTAGGAGGTAAGAGATCAACTTTTTCCATCAATCTCCAAAACAGTATTACTGAAATTAGGTACCTGCACTACCAAGTCATATAAGAATCTACGTCAATGATATCGGAAAACTATTCTCTCACAAATTTTGTTTTTATGGAGACATGATAGAGACTCACTGTGAAATTACATGAGCAATTGCAGCACCTCTGACGCCCATATGGAACGCAAAAATGAATATGGGGTCCAAAATTATGTTTGTCAAATCTCCAGCCACTGGTGAGATCAAAGCACAAAAAGAAAAAGAAAGAAACTGAGTTAGATTTTTCTTAACTGAATTTGAACTTCATCTGTCAATTTCTTAGTAGCTCACCAGTTGCAAAGAGTGGAGTTTTCGTATCTTTAAATCCTCGAAAAACTCCTTGCATGGCTAATGAGAGAAGAACTGCCGGTGCACCGAGTGACCTCAATTTTAGGTACTCTTGAGCTGGTTTTAGCATGGGTGATCCCTGTAATATGAGAGGACTCAACGAAGGCAGATGGAACATATATTCAACGAGTTCAACCGTTCAACTGAAGCAGTTGAAAGTTGTGTCTGTTGCTACTTTATTAAGAACTTTACTTACATGTTTGACTCCCATGAAGCTCAATATAGGCTTTGCTCCGGAAATTAGAAAGACGGCTTGGATGAAGCCAAGGATGGCACCGATGATCAATGCAGACGATGCAGATGGAATGTGCTTCTTTTCAGGCTTTGGCTTCACAACTTCAAAGGATGTAGCTGTCGTTTTGGACTTGTACACACTCCCTGCAGAATCAATTGATATAACGGGAGACAATACCATTATCAAGAAGCGGAAGGAACTTAGATTAAATCTTCTCCATATAATAGTGTGATAAAAAACATGGATTTCCAACATACTGTTTTGAGGTATTAGCTCTTTGTTTTCACTGTTCGATTGCGACTCTGTATCCAATCCTTCAACATCTTGTGATTGTATATCCTGGCTTTCGTTGTCTCGTGGTTCGGGACTTACTTTTGTGATGGCATCCTCCTCAGCAACAAAAGAGGTAGTGACACTGACAAGCGGAAAAATTGCAATCCTTGATGCTTGATTGAAAACAGCAATCGAAATTCCCACAGCAGCAAGCTCAACAGGACCTATATCAAACAATTTTTGAGGTTATAACTTACAAAATCTGTTTCTGTAAAGTAGTACTCCCTCCATTTCAATTTGTTTGTCTTGAACTCCATGCCAAGTCAAAACCGGACAAACAGATTGAAACGGAGGAAGTAATTATAACTATCTTGCTAACGTTTAACGGTTACCTATTTGGCCAATGAATGCTGTATCAACCAGAGATGCAATAGGATCTGCTGTTAAAGCTAGTGCAGCAGGGAGCGCGATTCTTGCAATCTCGCGGCCTAACTCGTCCAATTTAAATACTGATCTGCTCATGACACACACACAATTAATTGAAGAAAAAAACAGAAATATATTACTAGTAACTTGTGAAAAATCTTAACATTTCAAAAACATCAAAAGGTTCTTAGAATAACTATCGGATCACCTAAAAGATAACTACAGGTAACCAACTAACCATCCTTAAAACCTAAAGTTAGTGCAAAAAAACTACTTATAAAGGGTTGGATACTCTTAACGGTGTAAGTAACGGTCCGGAGTTGGACAAAGTGGATAATATCACATAGCTCAACAATAATAACATGTTAAAAAAAATAGGTTAATAGTTATATCTTTTACAATATGATCACAAATATGAAAAAGGAAAAGAGAAATACCTTGCTTCCCTAAAGAAAATGCAGAATGGAA